TGGGTGGCAGCAACACTGAAATCACCAGCACAGGCTGATTGCCCATGCCATGAATATTTTTAAGACTGTGTCCTTTAAAACAACACTGACAAAAGTTTGTTCACACTGCAACAGAAAATGTCTGCACTCCTGCCATTGCTATCAAAGGTAAAAATGAAGGAAATGGAGCCTATAACTTCTGGTCTATCCTGAACCCCACATCCCATAGTGCAGATTATCCTGTATATAGTGTTTATCATCAAGTAGGATCACGAGATACTTGGAAAATTCTAGTACCAACCTTGGGCTGGATTTTCATGAACAGATTTCCCAGGCCTTGGGGGAGGGACTCACAGGAGATGAACGACTGTAGCCCCAACCCCTTCCCAGGAGAGGAAATGTCCAAGCCTGGAATTTTTTGTCATAGGTTTTGGTGCTGTGGGAAGATGCCTCTGGATACAGGAGTTCATAAAAAACCGTGCTGGTATAACATTATTAAGATCTATAAACATTTTTGGCAGTACTCTGTACATTATTAAAGTGAACATACTGCTAAAAAAATGTTAAAGGACTTGGAGTGACACTATACAGCACTGTAGGATAGGAAATCCACGGTATCACTGTGAAGGAAACAAAGTTTTAGGAAAACAGAATACCATAATTATCCAAACTTGAGTCTTGCCAGGGCACTAGAGTTGACATCTTTGCAGTGGGATATTTTTATGACCACTAACAGAAATTGTTTCAGTCCTATGCCTCATCCACTAGGCAACACTGAGCCCTAGCTTGAAAAGCATGTTCTTAATTTCTCTATTTAGTATGTGAGGAAAGAGGGTTGCTGATGGTTTCACTAATGTTTCCTTTGACGATCCCATTTCAGTTTTGAGATCTGACAGGAAAGAAATCTGAGCTAATACGCCCACAGGTTTTTATAACTTCTTTGCATATAATTTTCTCATGTTTTACAACTGAGCTCATTGCACCTGCATTACAATTAAATTACCTTTATTTGGCTGTTTTGTAGATACAGCCTGAGATTTGTATGTAGATCCTTATTTAGATATCCATATGTAACTCAGAAATCAGCAGTGGGAAAACTTGAGCATTCAGGGCTATTAATGCTGAACTCGTGGGATTTCTGCGTTCAGATCTGAGTCTGAATGAGAGCTCAGCGACCTCGGCCAAGTCTGACAACACAGAGCTGAAGCTGGGAAGACCTGTTAAATATCAGACCATTCCGTTTGTTCTCACAGGAGTGTGCCTTGTGAGTTCAGGTGAGACTGAGGGCTCCCTGGCAGTGGACTTGCTGTCGTGGACCTTGAGTAGAGTTTTGATTTTCAACTGTGTGCCACCAGATTCACTTTGATTCTTACTGAGGCAAGTGCCACAAACCCAGAAATGCAAAGCTCTCCGGTGGGGTGGGCAGAAAGCTTGGAATAACAGCTGAGAGAATATCTTGAGCAGTAGGGAGTGTTAATAGGCAAATAGATCTCCTCTGAGAATATGTTTGTTTTCCTTTTTACTTGCTCCAGACAAGTTTGTCTCTAAGAAAATGCTTCACAGTACTTGGCAGGTGAGAATGGCCCTTGGGAATTATATCTTCCGATTGTGCTAGCCTGCACATATTTGACTTCACATGTTCTCCTAGGAGGAACAGGGCTGGAAGGGGAAGGCTTTAGGCAGCGTATTTGCATGCTTAACAGAGGAAGAAATCAGAATATTTGCAAGAGTTTCTAAACTAGCCTCCTATTATACTTTTTCTACTTTCACTCTGGAAGTCTCTTCTCACCTGGAAGCTGGGGTTTTCAAAAGGTTAACAAATAAAATGATGTGATGCCAGTATTTTGTTTAACAGGCGAAAGAAATTATAAAGCTGAGGATTAACTAAGTTAAAATCTTCATTTAAAAAATGGTAACTACTTGAAGATTTTAACTTTGCACAGCATTTCTCCCCCTTTTTGTATGTAGATGGAAGTTCGTACAGCATCCTTTTGAATTCTTCTGTCGTGCTTTATGTGTATATGGTGTGTATGTATATGTGTTTGTTGATTAATTTTAAAATGTAAATAGCTGTGAATATTGGAAATAGTAATGAACTGTTCATATTTTAGATGAGCTTAAACCCTTTCACTTATTTTATTGTTAGTTGAGTACATTTTAAAAGATTTGATTTCAATATTTATTGTTTCAATACACTTAACTTTCAAATCTGAGGTAGCTGAAAATGATACAGTGGATTATACAGTGTGTAGTATGTAGTCATCTGGTGCTCTTAGATGTCAACATGTTTTAGAAGAAAAAATGAAAGAAATTGTAACTTGTACCCATGTTACAAAAACTAATTTGGATTGTAAACTGTGCTGCAATTTTAAAATCAAATTAATTCTTTAGCATCTGTGCTTCTTGTGCACCTTTTTGCATGCCTCACACTGTATTTACTGGGCAGTAATTGTAAAATGCACGCTTTTTTTTCTGTCCTCACTCATGCATATAGCACACTATATAGCAAAGTCTTTAGAGTTATTCTGTAGAACAAGGAGGATGGCTATAAAGCTCATTACACAGAGCTTACTTTCTAAAATAAGGGAGAGAACAAGGTGAGAGCTAAACTCTCTTTGGCTTAAGATCAAACTCTCTTTAGTTTTAAGCTGATTTCTAAATGTTAGAAACCAAACCGAGATAAGCCTTGTGTAAACTGAAATGAGCTTTTGTATAGCTTTTTGTATCAGTTTAACTAAATTAAATGCAAACCTTAAATAAAAGCATATAACTTTCCATCTAGACAACTCTTGGCTGAGTATTTTGTTGGCCTAATATGCTAGCAGATATTTACTACTTTTCTCATTGTTATCCTTAATTTGTAGCATATTGTGTAAATGCAATTTATACTTACATATCATATAAATAGCTTTTGTGGTCTAGCATGGCATAGACAAAGCAATATGTGTGCTAAAATAGATTATCCATGTGTGGCTAATTGCAAGAGAATGCAACACAGATATATCATTCTATGCTCTTATAATTAAAGATAGGAATGAAATGCACAAGTAAAAAAAGAGTAAAGACATACATTCAACACTGATTTTATATATTTTGTATTCCTTTGTTGTGTCCTCTTAACGTTCTCTAGTTACTGGAATCTGTTAAATATTTTAAAGATGATTCATTTAGGCAAGTTGCTAATCCTATAAAATGCTGTGGAAACAATTTTTACAGGTTGTCTTTGCAAGCAAAGGCTTACTTTGAAAAAGGTGATGTGGGACTGAAACTGAGAGCATTCTTGTAAGACTGCAATTGTATATCTGTATACCACTCTGGAACTCCAGAGTTCCAGGCTGGAAATGATAATTCGGTGTGTCTGTGATTATTTCAATAAATGCATTTTACTTGCTCAGTTTTGTTAGGTATAATTCATGTTCTCTGGATAGGACACTACTTTTTCACAGTGTGTTTAACTTGCCTACCAAGCCAAGGACAGAAATCTGCAAAAACACTGCTGATAAAGAAGACTCTACCTTGGAGATTATCAGATACAGCACTATTTTCTCCTGCAGACTAGATTAATCTGCTTAATACATACAGAATTGCAGACAGAATTATGAAAATAATTGGTATCAATTATCACACTAGCATTACAGCAGAAAGATTAAAGGGCAAGTGAACAGAATGTGCTGGCTGCTCTTACTACATTCCTCTTAACAGTTTCATATTTTCTAATAACCTGGAGTAAAAGGAAAATAAGGAAGAAGAAAATGCTCCAGCTTATTGTGAAATATCTGTGATGATAGTTTCCCTTGCAGTGAAGCTTTTTAGCTGTGCATAGTTCATGACCTTTAGCAAATCTGAACTGTAAAATAATGTAAAGATTAATAGTTGATTTAGTTTTCATTAGATTAAAAACATGGTGAGAGACATTAGTACTGCAAATTTGGTCACTAAGAAAATTCATTAAACACCCCTCACCCCCACCCCCAAAGAAAAGAAGGAAAAAAATCCACCCTCTTTTTTTCTTAGCTGAAAAAAGTTTGGACAGCAAATTGTCTCTACAGTGGAGACAGGAGTCCTCTGTGGGAGTTTTGGCAGTCTGTGGTACGTGTCACTCTTCTCAGCAGAGCCAACTTTAGATGCTCTTTTAGCTGAAAAGTCCATTCTGGAGTCATAGAGCATCTTTTCTGTTCTGGGAAGCTCCCCAGAACAGGAAAAGGGATGATGTGCACTCATCCAGTCCCGGCTGCGGTCCTAGACCGCCTTGCATATCACTGCTTCCTCCTCTTGGCCTCCCTCATCCCTTTCCATGCATGGGGGAGACCTGCAGAGAAAGCAGGGAAGCATCATCTCTTTTAGGTGTGCAGCTGGTGGAGAAAATATGGATATATACAACATTAAATGTGAATATCTCATGATACAGAAGGTCTAATGGATGTACTCCCTGCAGAACAATGCAGAAAACCTTTCCCTTTGCTATCATCACTTTACCTTTGACTAAGCGGATGATTTTTCAATATTTAATTGGATGTGCAGAGCTGTTAGCTGTCTACTAGTGTCCATTTCAGTGTAACTTTGGGTTGTGTGTGGCAGATTGCACATCTTTTGCAAAAGTTAAGCAAAAAAAAAAATTAGCAGCTAATTTTACTATAGGTGCAACTGCTAAAGCCATTAATTGCCCATCAGATAAAACTCTGTCACCTGGAAAATTTTGCTAGACTAATTTTCAGTGACAGGCTGATGCTGTGTGTGCATGTGTAGAAAATCCCATCAAGATATTTTAGCTACTGTTGAGAATGTGGTTGGGGAAAATGTATTTAATGAAGTCAGAAGTCTTTGCTTACCCTCTGTTCAGATATGCAGCAATGTAAAACCCCTACGTTTATGTGGTCAATGACTGTACTGCATCTCTTCCTCTGTCGGGGCGGTGAGCAGGTCTTACCACCTAACAGCCTGGGCTTGAGAGGATGAACCCAGAGTCCTTTTCTTGCTTGGCATCTGCCTCTTGTGCTTGGAGCCACGTTGCTGCCACCATCATGGCAAAGATCAAGGCCTGACATCTACAAGGGAAGGATGAAGAGGAGCCGCTGATGCAACTGGATGACCAGCAGCTAGAACAGGCTCAATGCCACGTGGTGAAGGTCCTGGGGGAAAATGATTTCAAACTCTCCAAGATAGATGTGGTCTCCAAATCCATGGCCAGAGCCGTGGCTGTTATCAGTCAGTACCAGAAGGAGAATTTGAGGAAGTTTACAAAAGTGGAAGACACAAGCCTCTTGAGCAGTGGCCCAAGATGACACATGGCTGGCTACACATGCAAAATGAGCACAAAGACAGTCTGAGACCAAAAACCGTCAACAAAAAGAACAAAAAGCTATATCCTACCCAGAGGTTCACTGTTGGGTTGTAAAACTGCTGTGCACTAATGTTCTTAATTATTTTGGATAAGTGTTTCCTCATTAAACAGAAGTTTGCTTTGGGGGAGAAAAGGATTTTCCCAGCTGGTTCATACAGCAAAGAGAGGGAAACTGGCTGCATAGACCTACTGAGGAAATCTGCAGAAGGACATTACCTGATTTAAATGCAAAATGGGGAAAAAAAATCTTGTGCAAGGAAGAGACAAGGAAGAGATAAAACTGATGGCATCAGGCAAAAGCCTGATTAACAAGAAGTGGAGAGCAAGACTGACTGGGACAGGCTGGGAGTGGAGGAGAAAGGGCAAGTAAGATTGCAGGCAAGGCATATTTTGGAAAAAGGTGCTGGGTTTGGGAGCTTGGGGAAAGATGTCTGTAAGTGGAAGTCTGAAGTCTGTAAGATGACATCCAGACCAGAAGACATTTAGCAAAGGAGAGGGACTGGGAAAAGGCACACTTCTTGGAACAAGGTGACGGAGCAAGGCTTAGAGCCGGCTGACTCCCTGGACAAAGAGACAGGGATCGGGAGACCTGAGGAAACTGAAGCAGTAATGACAAGGATGCTCCAGATTGTGCCTCGAGGAGCTGGTTAGTGACGGATGTCTGTAGGGAAGAGTGAGTTTCCAGCCCTGCAAAAGGCACATGTGGGTCTAATTATGGAGCTGCACGCTGGAATTTGGGCTGCTTTCTTTTCAGTTTTTGTTTGTGGTGTGTTGTTTTTCTTTGCTTTTAATCTGGGGCATTGCACAAAAATAAACTGTCAAAAAACATTATTGAAGTTGCAGTTTCTGCTAGTTCAGGAGTCTCTGTAATGTGAATCTCTGTAACGTGAGTCTCAGTGGCACGGTTCATATGAGTTTACAGTGTCCTCATACCAATAGACTGCTAAGGCTTTCCCAAGGCAGCAGTTTATATTATTATTTGCTGCTAAAAGTGTACCTGGAACCAAAGAAAATCATGGCAATCACTTTTGCATTAATGTGTATACATATATACATACATACATATATACGTGTGCATATATATGTGTATATATATGCAGAAAGGGGAAATATGTGATGATATAGTTAATGTATTTTTTTCATTTACATTATATATGATGGCATAAAGGGGTTTGCACTTGTTCAGATTAAGGACCCGTCTATCCTATCATTTTTGGCAGTGGCTGTAGCAGATGCCTACTGAAGAATAATCAACTATACAGTCATATTATACTGTATTCCTCCTTCCCAGTTTTCAGGTTCTAGTGATCTATGGCTCAGAGATTTCCTGTGCTGGAGGTATCTTAGTATTTAATAGCCCTTGATGGATTTTTCTTCCCACCCACAATATCCTGTGACAATGAATTTCACAATTTTATACTGTGTGAGAGAAAGGATCTCCCTTTACTTGTTTGTACCTTCAGCTTGATGTTTACTAGTTCCTGTCGTATGAGGCACAGTGAAAAATTGTTCCCTGTTCACTGTCTTCCTGCCATGCTTCAGGATTATTCAGGTATTTGTCGTATCTCTATCTCCACCATCTCTTTACAGGCTGAAAAGACCAAGTCAGTGTACCTGGTTGGTACCCTTTGATTGCACTAGTCACAGTTTTCTGTGAGATATTATCATCTTACTCAGAAATAAAAAATATACATTTGAATTAGATCAGGTAGCCTAAAAAACCCCAATAAATTCTTTAAGTTCTGCCACAAAATCCTCTTCTGAGTATATACCAGATAGATACAAAACATGATTGCAGGAGTATTTGAAACAGTTTGTAAACTTTTTGTTAGACTGATTCACCTATGTCTTTGTTAGTATGACTCCATATATAAAAATTTGAAGGCAATAATATGCCCTCCTCCTCATTCCCTTCATATAACTCAGAATAATTCATTAATATTTGGAAATGTGACAGCTTAGAAGTCTGACATAAGAAACCTTGTTGGTCTGCATGCAAGAAACCCATGAATGTTTCTTTACAAATGGGATAAACCATGCCTACAAAGGAAAAAGCTAACAGATTTTAAGTCATGACCATTTTGTATACAGAAAAAATACTCTAATTGTTATAGGAACAAGTCTACTAATTTCTAATTTTTACTTACAAGAATTTGAGGCCATAATTTTCATAATGGAAAGAAAACAGTAAATATTCCTAATGCTAGTTTGATTACATTCATTTGTTCATTAATGTATTCATTTTGATGTTCAGACGGTCTTCTTGAAACTGTGTATTTGACTTTTCCAGTCATGATTTTACTTAAATGAACAGGATTTGAAGGTAGTAGTCTCATAAACACTTGCAAAACTGGAAGAGTTTGTAGATATGGGGAACCACTGAGACAAAACCATCATAAGAAAAGGAAAAACCACTATGATTATATCCCAGGAAAATAGCACTATACAGTTCCTACAAACAGTATGTATCTATGGTTTTTTTCTTAAGTTTTAGCACAGGTAATGCTGCCAGGATTTTTTAAAAAATTCTTTTCACTAACTTACTTTTCTCATAGCACCTTCCTTTAGCATGCTGGCCAAATACTTTCCTTCCTTTGCTTTGAAGCAATCCTCTATTCTCTAGAGAAGAGCAAACCAGAGCCATTGCGTGTAATTTGAGTCATACCCCTAGGATCTTGCTTTTATTAAAAATCACTCCAGTGATTTAAAAAAGTAACAGTAATGGTAAAAAATCGCTGAAGTAACTCCTTTGTAAACTGTTGTCATTTTTTTCTCTGTGTGTCAATTACAGTCTACAGTAATTTTATTTTAAAATAGAATGAAGGCAAGTGGTCCTATGAAGATGTTAGGTCACCGGTCTCCCTCTTCATTTTCCAGTCAATAAACAAGGGGAAAAAAACTTCTTCAGAGCCGTTCCTCTCCAGCAATGTGTCTCTCACAACTTGGTTCAGAGGATGTTCTAGGAAAGGCTCAGCAGGCAGTGATCCAAGATGCACCAGGGTAGGGAGAAGGTACTCAACACACTGAGCAGCTAAGCCTGAGAACAATATACGAAGCTTCTCGTATCACTCCTCAAGCAGGTGTGTTGATAAACCCTACATATATCTCTAAACTGCATGCGATCCAACCTGCTCTTACAAGTATTAAAAGTTTTCGCTGCTGGAAATGCTTAATCTTTAGATCAATTACAGTAGAAACATTGAAAATGTTTAAGAATGAAATCCAATAAGAAAGAAAAGTCAAATTATCTTTTCTTTTATGTGGTCTGCCTACTATATTGGTATTGTGAGCAGTTGTGTGGAAGTGAATGCAACATGATTAACAGAAACTCTAGAAATATTTCTATACTATTTGATTTTTTTGAGAAATGACTACTTCATGTCTCTTTCTAATTGTAGGTGTAGTTCCCAGCTGAGTACTCATCAGGTATTCTTGGTGACAGCACTTGCAGGATAGAAAGCTCTGTGGAAATTTCCTCTAGCTTAATTCCAATTTGCCTAGTCTCGTGCACATGAAACTAAAATAAGATACCTAAGCACACACAGCTTGGGCATATTGGTTTGTATACAAATTCAAATCACACAGGATTTTTCCACGTAACAGGTAACAACTACCAGAGAAAAATGTTCTACTGTAAAGTACAGAGTGCTTAATGTTCTTTCTGCACTAATAGCAGCAGCAGACAGGATTGAGGTATCACCCCACAGCAAAAAGGGACGTACTTCCTCTGGGGTGAGCTTTGCTGCAACATAGCAAACTCACCTTTCTTTTAGGTTGCTAATTCTTCCTGAGGCCTGGGATGCCATTACAAGAGTAATTTATAATCTTTTGGGAAGATGTATAAGGCAAGTTGCCAATACACATTTAGGTGGATTTTATTCTCTGTCATCATGACCTTTACTTGGTAGAAATGCCTGTTTCCTGGACAGATAAGGAACAGTGTAGAGCACTGCTTCCCATCCTGGGTGGACACTAGTCCATTTTCAGCAAGATGTGGAAAAAGAGGAGGCAGCTCAGAAGTTGACCTGTTGCAAGGCTGAATGTGTGGCCTTATTGATTTTGCATATCTTGACTGGGCTATCTCTTTAGGAACTTTATTTAAAAAGACTTAGCAATCTGGTTCATCTTGAACAATGCAGAGTGAGCATCTGGTAAGGTTACAGCTGCCTAGAACGTGCTGATATAAAAGACGCATGATTTTGTTTGTCTGAATGAAATCAGACTGCTGTGTTTGTGTAACTCCCATTTTGGAGCTAAAAGGGGTCCAAGGACAAAGAGGACTGAGCACAGTGGTGGAGAAATCTTAACAGGAGAGGTATGGGAACCACCAAGCATTGGGAGAAAGTTTAAGTTTCAGTGTTTAAGTTAACAGAAAAGGTGAGTCATGGGAAGGAGTAAGTTTGAAGGACATGCAGCATACATATTCGTTTTCATAGCAGGATGAGAATGCCACCTAATTCTATTGTGTTATTTGCCTCTGTTTTAAGTAGAAACAGCTATCCACAACATGGATTTGTTTGTGTATGTTCACCTTGCCTGTGAGTTCCTGGGCATTAACTGGAAATAATCAGGCCAGCTATTGTTCTGACTTCCCATACAATTTAATTAGGTTTTCTTTTTCTCTTGCATGTCAGAAGCCTTTTATGGAGGGAGAACTTTGATGCGAAAAAATATCTCCGATTGCTAAAACATACTTCAGAATTTCCTAGTATTTTCATGTCAGCAGGGCAATTTTATTGCTTTTACTAACAAAAGGTCTGTAGTCTGGGTGTATACCGGGGAGGATGATAGAGCTTCCTACGCACTTGTGTGCTTTGAATTTTAAATATGAGTTCTGATGCTTATGCATTTGTGGTGCAGTTTTGACTGATTCAGGCTGTTGAACACCCTCTCTGAAGCTTCATTTGCCACTTTCTTTTCCTGAGATGGGGGTGGTCTTTGGGTATTCCATGATAAGTACATTTTTGTATTTTAAACTGCCTCTGAAATATAAACACTATACTCTCTCCACTGGGTTTTTATTTTGGAGTTACATGATGAAACTTACTTTTATC